AGGAATGGGAAGAGTCAGAGTCAGGGACAGAGCCCTGCAGCACCCTCTGTCACATGTGCAGCTAAGCCCTTAACCCAGCTTTATGCAGAACTACAACTGCAGATTGCTCCAAGCTGTTCCCAAGGAAGATGCCATGTAAGGGCTAATTCTTGTAAATCTCTGCATTATTTCCCAGTAAGTGCTGAGGTGGGCTGGTCATGGACTGTGACCAAGCCAGCAGCAACAGCTCTGCTGTTATCCTCAGTGCTTCTCTATTCTCCTGATGTTTACTCTGCCACTGTGGGTATTGAGACTGTTTTCAGCCCCTCCATTGTCCATCTGTTTCTTTTGCAGGAACTCATCACTGCTTGGTACATCGGGTTCCTGACACTCATCCTATCCTCGTTTCTTGTTTATCTGGTTGAAAAAGATGTTCCTGAAAAGGATGCTAATGGGGTGGAGATGAAGGAAGAGTTTGAAACCTATGCAGATGCACTGTGGTGGGGGCTGGTAAGTGACTCCAACAATACCTTATCCCCTTCTTAAAAACTTCATATCCAAGAAGAGATTAATTATCGATGTTAAGGCTTACAGTATAAGTGCTGCTAAATTTGGGTGAGGAGCATGTTACTGGTATAACATTGCCAAAGTAGGGATGCCCCAACAACCATTTAACAGAACTTATATCCCTGTTGATTTTCAGTCAGACAAAGGCCCTTAGGTGCTTAAACCGCTCTCAGAAATCAGTTTGTGCTCTTGGCTTCTGGGAAACCTCTCTTTTAGAGGAGTGTCTCTTTGGGTACAACTGCACTTGACAGAGCCTATGTCTATGGGAGACCTAGCTCTCATGACAGCAGTATCCTGCCTGTGAGAGCTACATCCCTCAGAAAATGGCAAAACCAGAGCTGGCCAAATTGGAAGGTGCTGTTGACCCTCTTGAGGGACAAGAGGCCTTGCAGAGGGATCTAAATAGACTGGAGCATTGGGCAATGATTAATGGACTGAAATTTAACAAGTCCAAAATGTCTCTGGAAAGGATAACTCAACACTTCTTTTGTGTCTTGCATGCATTCCCCAAGAATCACTCAGGGAATGTCATTGGTGGTAGGATAGTGAGCAAGAGAGACCTTTGATACATCTGTTCTTCTCTCTTCTGATGAAGAGAGGAGTATTGGTTTGCGGCACTGCTCATTTGATCACAAAATATTCCTGCCATCTGGTAGGCAGAATTCATGGTGCTTTGCTACCAACAGTTAGGGGAGTCTATATCATGCTGTGACTAAAATTCAGCAGCATATTTTTTTATTTACTGCAGTTCACTCATAAATGGCAAGGTTCCTCCCCACTGTTATTAATCAAAAGGTCCTAAGTGTTGCATAGAACACCTGGATATTTTCATATCCTTACATATCCAGGACATTTAGGTAGAGTCTCATGGGTGAGAAAAGGTATACAGCTGGAAATTAACAATTGTGCAGGAAAGGAGTAAGTTTTCATGAAGTCATCTTTGTTTTACAGAGACTAAGACTTCAGGGAGAGGTAGCCCTGATTGTTAAAGCTCTGCAAGCTGTAAACTGGCAAGTCTCGTTCCTAACTGTGCACTGATGGTGGGCCGGAGACTCACTCTGCGTGCAATGTCACATGGAGTTCCCTTTCAGCAAATGCATCTTAGAGAGGCAGCTGCTTTAAGACTAAATCCATTCTCCCTGGTGCAATGCCTCTGGACTATGATGCCATTAAAAAAAAACGGTTGACCCATCATCAAGACCTTATTTTAAGAAGCTGTGCATGAGCACCCATAACACTAACTGCAGGTTTCATGGTGACATTTAAAGCAGAACTGTTGGCTTTGTTTTTCTTATGGGAAGTCCTGGTCATTCTGCCCACAGATCACCCTCGCTACGATTGGGTATGGAGACAAGACCCCCAAAACATGGGAGGGACGGCTGATTGCAGCTACGTTCTCTCTCATTGGAGTGTCTTTCTTTGCTCTTCCTGCAGTAAGTACCTTCCCCCTCCTCTGTTAGGCACAGCCCAGCACTGTACATTTGCAAAAAGAAGGTAAACTGATCAAAACTGCCAGTGGAATCAAAATCCCTTTTTAAGAAGTGATTCAGACACTTGAGCTGGTCTATATCAGTAAATCAAACTCCTTTCTTCCCAACTTTGCATAGAACTTATTGGGAATAATATGTCACCCCGATACTCCTTGAACCATGTGTGGGTGTTTTCTGAGACAGTGTTCATTGGCACGGGACAAAATTAATCCAGCAAGTGAACAGTCTGGGAAATCACAGGGCAGTTCATGAGCCTGCACCCTGGCCCGGGTTAGTTTACTGGTATTGACATAGCCACATAAGATGTATTTTTAAAGGGCTGTTGTATTAATAATTAGGGTTGGGCCCATCTTACCCAGCTCTAAACACTTGCAAGCTAGAGATCTACGTCTGAGTGATCATCACAGACCAGTGGTCATCCTTTATAACTAGTGCAGGTCTGCAGAGCATTTCATTTCACCTGTTTCCCTTCCTTCCTAGAGGAGATCTCTGACACCACCACAGAAGTGCTGTTTCTATCCACTAAGATTAAAGGGAATTTAGATAACAGGTGACAATACAGGTGATCTAGCCAGGTGAATCCTACTCTGGCTGCTTAAGAAATGATCTCTAAATTGCTTTTGAAAGTATATTTGTTCTCTTGTGTTACATAGGCCAAATATTTGCCTTGTCTGCAAAGTCCTCAGGTAAGAATGAGACAATATCTGGGTGAGATGGACTGAAGAGCAACAGAAACCATCCCGAGTCCATATTTTAGGATATCTTTCCTTTAGATTGAGACTTGGAAAGAATTTCACAGAGGATGGGAAGTCCCACACACCCAAATCCAGAATATGGTTAGCATAGCTCTTTTATCACACAAGCACAGTTTCACTCTATCCTGAGTGAAAGTAATACACCACCTGGACACATCCAGCTTGGAAAAGCAGTAAGCATTCAAGAAGCCTGTTGAGGACCTTAAAATGGTTTGGTGTGGCCTGTGGCCCTTGAGAAGATCATGACAAACTCATGTCCCATGAGCAGAGCAGTGGGAAAGGCATACTGTACTGCACAAAGGTCCCACGCAGCCATACCCGTCTCCACCTACAGACCTGTTTCCTCTCATTATTGATCCAGTTTTTCTAGGTACGAAATGTCTAAAATCTTGCATCACTCTATGCTTTCAGGGCATTTTGGGCTCAGGGCTGGCACTGAAGGTCCAGGAGCAACATCGTCAAAAACATTTTGAGAAAAGAAGAAAGCCAGCAGCTGAACTCATTCAGGTTTGCAGCCACTTATCCCCTCCTTGAAAAAGTGTTGTGTATGAAGACTGCTGCATCATGCTAACAAGGGCCGCTGCTTAACCCCTGCCCAAATTCTCATTTCCCATTGCAGGAGGTGAGAAGCTGTGTTTGTAAAGGAGTCAGTTTTTTCACATTGAGCTAGATAGTCCAGTGATCCTTGCAGTTTTTGAGGAATCTTTCAAGTCCCAGAATATCTTTCAGAAGAACAGTGTCTTTAGAAGAAAGGGTCTCATCTGCTAGCTTCTGGAAACCAACCAACTTCTGCATCAGTGCCACGAAATCACAGAAAAGAAGCTGTTGAAAACATATTCTTTCCAAAATTCACGTTTTGTCAGTTCCCTTGAGAGAGTGATTTTATGTGCAAACAAAGTTATTTTGTTATTGGTATGAAAATAGCAATAGAAGTAACACAATACACAGTGACAGTTTCAATCAAAGCAAATGACATAAATAGTATGTGTGGTTTGTAAAAACTGAAACACACCCTGGATCTTCTGTTATGTCACTGGACGATCAGAGGATTCAATGGGAAGAGACTCCTTGACTTCAGTTATGGTCTTCGTTACGAATTCAGAAAATTAAGCTTAAAATTACTAGTCTGGGGGCTGAAAAATTTGACAGGAGTTACCCTTAGTAGGTGTGGAAAACACCCTGATGGCAGTGAAGTAAATGGCAAAATTTCCACAGAGGGACAGAGGAAGTTTCTGTGATATCAGATGGAAGCGTTGGTGCCCAGGACTGCTCAGGATCAAACCAGTCTTCAGGAGAAACAGGCTGAGTGGCATATTATGCTGTTTTCATTAAAAACAATCCTTAGCAAATAGAAGGGGCTGCAGGCATCCCTTTTAGAAGAAGTTTCTTCCTCCCTTACTAAATGAGCCGACTTGCGCTTCCAAGATTTCTTCTTTATACTGAGCATGACGTCACATGGTATGGAATATCCCTTTGGCCAGTTTGGGTCAGCTGTCCTGGCTGTGCCCCCTCCCAGCTTCTGGTGCACCTCCAGCCTTCTCAGTCGGCAGAGCATGGGAAGCTGAAAAGTCCTTGATTAGTGTAAGCACTACTTAGCAACAACTAAAACATCGGTGTGTTATCAACATTACTCTCATATTAAATCCAAAACACAGCACTATACTAGCTACTAGGAAGAAAATTGACTCTATCCACCCAAAACCAGGACAGTGGTGAATTGAATTCACCTTTTAAATTATATCATCTCCACTTAGCAGGTAGCTAATTTAACTACAGTATTTTTTAGATATGTGCTTAGAGAATTTTGATTGGAGCTAAATGCTGAAATAGAAAATTTCTCAGCAAAATTTCCTCTTATGATATATTAGATAGTAAACTAGCTTAAGCACTTCCAGAAATATTGGACAAATTCAGCAGTGCCTGAAGGTCTTTTAGACATACCAGGCAGGAGAATAAAACCAGTTTAGTCAAATGTAATGTCTTGTTGATGTTGATATTGGTGGTTCTCTGTCATGTCCTGTCTCCTTTAACAGCCCTCCCAGACCACAATCCAGTGGTCTGTAATTTTGCTGTATAGTGACACTCATTTGGTATTGCTGATGATTAGTAATTAATTTCCAGATAGTCACTCGGGTGCATCGTTATGTTCTTTGAAGCAATCTGGCTGCTGTCAGCCTGGGGAATAGCTTTACCTAACACTAATTATTTCCTCTCCCTTGTAATTCAGGCTGCTTGGAGATACTATGCTACTAATCCCAACAGGATTGATCTAGTTGCTACCTGGCGGTTTTATGAATCAATTGTATCATTTCCATTTTTCAGGTAAGTGCATTATCCATCTCTCCATCATCATTTTCTGTGAAGTATAAGTCAGGACAGGAAACATAGACTTTATATATATCAATGAGGCTTTTGTAGGTAACAGACTGTTGCCAGTTAACTTCCTGGCTGAGACTGAAAAATATGCTTTTTGGCTTCTGGATCCATTTCTTCTCCCTTCCGCTGGTGGGATATATTAAGGGCACAGGGATAACTCCATCAGTGGCTCTCATGTTAGCATTAAACAGAGAAGGCTGCCTCACCGTCAGCTTCCCTTTGTAAGACTCTGGAGTTTATCGCCCTAGAAATCTCAATTTCTCCCTCTGTAATTTTTATCCTGATAAAGTTTTAACCCTGGATTTCAGAGGCGCCTGTACTTCTCGCACCCTCTATGATGCAGTTGTGTATTTTAAGATATGGGCTATGCTGAGAATTCTTACTTTTCCCTCTTTAACTCAACTGGCCTGCGAATTGTGTTGTTCACAGAGGTAGCCATGGCATGTGAACATAATTAATACTTGTTAAATGCTTGTCTTTTGGCAATACCAATTGCTCGAGGGGATAATTCAGTGGAGGACAGCCAAAGCATGTTTAAAACTATCTCCCACTGAAACTATTAACTGAAGGTTCACAAGGAAACTTTTTTGCAGATTTGGGGTCATGGTTTTATTTTAATCACCACTTCTGAGTTCAGTGGAAAGCATTCCATACATAAAGACATTCAGACTTAATGGACACTCATATGTTTATGGATATGAGTCTGTCTGATCCTCACTTTTCTTGCCTGTCAAACAGGCACCTTCCTCACCTTGAGTTCCTAATATTTTAAAATGTTGGCCCTATGAAAGCCAAGACTTCTAGCTACAGACTATCAGCTGCTAATAATGGGCATTACTTATCCAAGTTTACACCTTAAACTTTCATTCTGGACTTGCTGTTATGCCTCATTCTGACAAAAAGTGCCCTTAAACTATCGCTCAGCTCAAACAGAGGTCTCCGCATGTAAATTGTGCTCACTGCACTAATACTGCAGCTCCAGCTCTTGCTCAAAACTGACTGGAAGAAATATTTCAGGCTCCTGCCTTCAATACAGGCAGGAGCAAATTACAAATATTAACTCTTTCTTTGTTTATTCACAATATATTTCTTTAGGATTGATTTCACTTAGGTCAAAAAGGCAGTCTCTAAGAAAAAACACCACAAAAGTGTTTAATTAAGGCTCAGTACATTTCTTTCCTTTTCTTTATCCTTTCTCACTCTCTATCTATTCCCACATTATCCATTATAGAGTAATTTCTAGAAGGTTTCTTGACCTGAGGTTTTGTTCAGAGAATAATTGTCAGGCTTGCATGGAGTCTAGACTCATTACCGTGACTTCAAACTTGTTCGTTGTATGTAGGTTCTTCTGTGATTTAAATGCGACCTGAAATTTAATAGGTGTTTTGCAAATAAGGTCCTGGGAGAGAGGGCAAGAGAGTTCACTTCTCACCAAAGACTATGTTGCCAGTCTAAGCAGCACAGATTGGTTTCAGGAAACTATATCACTTTCTTTGCTTTATGGCTAGTTGAAAATGTAGCTTTTATTCTGCTGTCAGTTATGATCACAGAACAAAAGAGTTAGAAACCATTAGCAATAGATTAGAAATTTCTGTTTAAAAAAATCTGCTGAATTTATTATGTGATTCTTCTCTCCTTGCTTTCTTGTAATGCTTCCTTTCTTCTCTAAAAGGAAAGAGCAATTGGATGGTACTGCCAGGTACGTAGCTGCCATTATTACAGCCTTGTTTTAATACAGTTATTGGAGGATGCAGGTTAAATGGTTCTTTGTGGATTCATGAGCTGTTAACCAAAACATGCTACTAACACCACAGGTAGTCATTAAAAACAATTAACCAGTCCATTTCCTAATTGCTTGCTTTTTTCCCAATTTAACAACACAGCTAAAATGCTACTCATACAAATGCAGTGTTGCTTGCTGACTGTATGTAAACAGCTTTATTGTTCGTTATGATTAATCATGGTCTAGATTTCTCCTGATCCATGCCATAGAGCCGGGGTTTAGCATCCAGGTTGTTCTGGGGTGAAATTAAAGTTCTGCTTCATGTTATTGCTCAACAGTCCTGCACAGAGCGATGTTGCAGTGTAAGGGATCAAGTCTGTGTCAATTCACCATGTGCAAAGATTTCTTGACAATAAATACTAAGATGGATGGCTAAGATGGATCAGCAGGATAGTCAATCTCTCTGGCAGTACTAAAAAAGCCACCTTAGGTTTGAGGCCTTGGTCCCAACCCTGCTGAAACAGATGGGGAAGCTCCCAGTCACTTTGGGGAATTTACAAGCAAAGAGAATGAGGGAATCATCGATCCTAATGCTGGTCAGTCACTGAAGACTACAACAAAGCAGTCATTGTCAGTCAACCTGCAAGGTCTCAGATGGAATTGATATATTTATAACCCTCTGCAGCTAAGTTGCAGATTGAAAAGCGCATAAAATTCAACCTCTTAGGTCTAAAATGTGAAATACTTAATGCTAAACTGCTGTCAATGAATCACCCACAACAAAAGTCAATAGCAATTAAAGGATAAATAGTTCCACAGACTCGAGTTGAACCTATTTCCATTTGCATCCCCATTTACAGTGCAGAGAAAAAGAGCAAGAATTGTAGCAAAATTTGAAAACTGTTAGTCAGAGGTCAGGCCTGGGTTCCAGTCCCTGGCCTGATGAAAAGTTATCTTTTTATTTTTTAAACATTTCATGCAACACATGACAGCTTCAATAAAGGAAGCTGAAAAAACCAGATTCGCACTTGCTGTTCTCCTATGAATTTTTGGGGTTCAAACCTCCTTTAACAGAAAAGAAAAACCAAGTTTTCTTACAGTACAGGCAGGTGCTGTAGTCCTGAATTATTGGGAAAAGATTACTTCCCCCTCCTACCATCATCATCATGAGCTAACCTGCTCCTTTTCAAAGACTGCCTGGATGGGGGTTAGTTTGTGAACCCTCATGAACCTTAAGTACTATACATCCACGGCACTGCCCAGGCTAAGCAGTCATGAGCAAGCTCAGTTGCATTAATGTAGATGTCTGGAGATTTTAGCCATCTCCAGGGTTGGCAGCAGCTGAATTTTGGCCTTTAATATGTAGGAGAGAGCTTAGAAGCTGAAATCCTTTTGAGTACATAACTCCATACCTTGAGCCAAAACATGTTCTGACTCAGATGCAGCAGCAGATTAAAATTAGGAAAGTGAAGGATTGCTGCAGTTTGCTGTTGGTCACAGCCACCCTAGAGAAACTCCTGCACCTGCAGCAACAGAACAGTTCGTGGAGAAGCTTCTGAGTTACTGTATCTTTCAGACTACTAGACTAAGTCATTTTATGTTGAAACACTGGATTAAAAACTGAAAAGTATGACTCACAGCTCAAAATCTTGTAATCCCGAGGCCCCTCATTCTAGCTGGATATATCTTGCTCTTATGTTGCTACATATGTAATAACCTT